ATTTACAGCCGATGGGTTCCAAATGAAGCCCCCGGCCCTCCCGTATATTTCCTGTAACGAATGAGTTTCTACAACTACAGTTGAGGAGAGTCCCGTCGGGCCCGTGGTAATTTGACAGTCGTCAGGAACTGCCGTGTGACGTCATTCTATTGAGATAATAAAAACCTACATTCCCTCTCGCGTAGTCGCAAACTAACCTCGACCTCGTTACAGGCTTGTTTACGAGCGGACGTGTCACATGTGTCATGGACGTTCGCAGCGTGCTAAGGATGTGAATCACACCCTACGTTTTCTATGTACGCTATTCCTCTGTGCCACTTCTACACAACACTCGTTTGGTGATTCTTCTCTAGCAGGCGAATGGAACGAGGATTAGTGAGGCTGAATCACCTTTTTTTATTTAACCGGGCCTATATATCCTGTTTCACCACGCAGTTCATTTCCTACATTGGTCACAAGTGTGCGCGCGTTTGTACGTCCGCGCATAGTATATAACATACTCTGCTCATTTTGGGCGTGAACATAGCCCGCATTACTTATTCGGCTGAGAAGGGGGGCAATTATCAGATGGTTGTCCCGAAACGATAGCATGGGTTGACTTGCCTCACTACGCTGCGACACTTCACCTTCGTCATACACGCTCGACTGGCTTCTACGCGAATTAGTATCATCTACTTTACCCTTACAGCTGCAATACATTACTATGCATACGGATCGAGTGATGTGATAAACAGGCATAGTCAATGTCCAATTGCTGGTCGAGCATACTCCTAATATGCATACAGCAAGACTACTGTTAAATACGTCCAGTATTATGTACGACGTAATCGATATTCACAGGGGTTTTATCAAGTGACCTTGTTCTATTGCTTGCTCCCGGTTCGAAGTTGCGACGCGCCTTTTGTACTTCGATCTGGCATGACAATTATATGCGAGAATTACAAAAAAAACCTGTGTTTGTCCGCGGATCACCTATCGCAGAAAGAGAGAGAGAGAGAGAGTGAGAGAGAGAGAGAGAGGAGGGGAGGGAGAGAGAGAGAGAGAGAGAGAGAGAGAGAGAGAGAGAGAGAGAGAGAGAGAGAGAGAGAGAGAGAGAGAGAGAGAGAGAGAGAGAGAGAGAGAGAGAGAGA